ATGTTAGCATCTCCACTAAATGCAATTCTGTAAGTCATTTACTGTTTTGATTTCTATAGTTCAAAAAAGGGACACAAAACTGGTGCACAATCTCTTATTCAAGCCCTTAAAGGCCACGTATTTCTCAGAATTGGAATTTGTCAGATTTTAGAAAGTTAACATAGCATATATATTACGTATGACCTAACACCTCCCAGGGTGGCCTAGACAGCACTTGCCATCAAATATACTAATATTTCTGCATCAAAACAGAAAATCAGGTTAACACAGATAGACCATGAGTAGGCTACCAATTTCAGTTGGAATTTGCCTTCACACTTGCTTTTTTAAAAAGTCAGTTTTTAGAGCTTTTGGAAATTTGGACAGCCAATAAAAATACATTAAATCATCTCATCCAGTTTTCATAAGGAGAATGGTATTCAAAACCTAGAGAACTCCTACTTTGTACTAGGCACTAGGTCAGGCACTGGGAGTAAAAAGGTGGGGGCCAAGGAGGAGGACATAGAATCTAACGTCAAAAAGCCCAAATCTAATAGAAGCTCACGTTAAACAACTGTAAATGTATTATGGGGTAAACACAAAGTATCTCCTTCAACCAATGACCTTAGCCATACAAAATACAGCAAGAAATACAGACCTTAACACTGCCAGAAACACTTTGTTACTTACAACCTTCCCTCAGTCCTGTACTCACTCCACACACATTTTTCTAAGAAGCTGGTTATCTAGTTTCCCATAGGTAATTAAGAAGCAGAACTGTAAGAAACGATTCAAGGAAGTAAAGGAATGCAGGATGCCCTTCTTCCCATACCCTTTTCCAATCTGTTGTTTCCCACCCGTGGATTGGGAAACAACACGTGACTGCACTGTCAAATGACAATTTGGCACCAGTTCAGTTTATTGCATATTTATTGATAACCTACTATGTATAATGCACTTAGAAGGTACCAGAAATGTAAATATAAATGACAAAGCCCTACCTCTCAGGTGCTTACAATCCAGTGGAGGTTAAGGTGGACGGTGGGGATGGACAGTAAATTACAATACCATGTGATACATTCAATAATAGAAATTTGAAGAATAAAAGCAGTACAGCAGAAGGATTTGGGAAATCAGGAAAGGTTTCTTTAAGAAAGTGACACCAGAGTAGTTCTGAACGATAAGAAATTTGTCAAACTGAGAAGTGATACTAAAAATACCACCACCATCCCCTCCAAGCCCCACATAAAAACATATGCATGAAAGCAAAAAAAGGGAAAACTTTCAGGGTAAGTGGCAGATATGTCCAAAATATCTAGCTATATCTAAATAGACTTAGGTCCCTGGTGTAAACATATACAAAATATTAAAGTGTGTCCAGAAAAGGAAAATTGTTTTTTTCCTCTTAGGTAATTCATTTTGCATTTCATGATTATATAAGCTATGTGGCCTTACCAAAAAATAAACATTGTAAACCATTTTATTAATGCATAATGTAGCATATCCCCAAGTGATAATACCAAGAGATTATCATCTGTATTTCAGAGAACAAGATGTCAGAAAAAAATATTAGGAATTCTTTTTTCCAAGTCATTTCTAATAGTATAGACAAAGTAAATAAATAAACAAGCCATATCAGCATGACTTGTCATGAGAGGAGTTTTAAGAGTTTAAAAAAGGATGTCAAACAGAAAAACTAAAGCAACGAGAAAAAAAAAATATATATATATAGTATTTAAGTTGAAGAAGGAAAAGTTCAACGCACAAAACCAAATTAAAAATTACAAAATAATTTTAAAACCTTAAAACCCTAGTGTTCATTCTATTTGTTTTCGAAGGTAGACGTTCTACAACAGACACCAATTTTAGTATAGATCTTTCCAAAAATACCTAGTAAAAGTCACAATGAAATTCAACTCCTCTAAGTATTATGGGTAGAAATCATCCATAGTAAGGAAGAACAATCACATGTATCATCAACCAGAATGATTCCTGTCACAGCACTAGATCCTTTGATATCAATATTGTGATACCAATATTGCATGTAATTCTATTCAAACATTACAGTGCAACTCAGATTAACTCTGCCTCTAAAACTGCCCTACCTGGTACCTTGGTTTCTTTTGCTTCTTTGTGCTACGAAATCCACTAGAAGTCTAGGTAACAAAATCTTATTTAGTAGTATCTTTTCTGAAGATTGTATCACTGTTTGCATAAATTGTCCTCAAATGCCTATTAAGCAAGCACATGGAAAGTTTGCCTTTAAATATGTAATCATCACAAATGAACTTCCTACAGTTAAAAATGTTGACAATTAAAAAATACTGTTTAACACTGCTTTTTAAAGAGCAAAGAATAGTTACCTTATTTTTACCAATCTAATAATGTCTAGTCATTATTTCATATTTAGGTGTGAAGCATACCTTTTCTTTATTTTTCTGTATTATTAGAAAATCTTATGAAGCATATTTGTGAGTAAAAAGGGTAAAACTCTAACTTCCCACGGGTTGCAAAAAATTCTGTAAAGGTCTTTCAAAATACAAATACTTTTAATACCAGTATCTGCTGAAGAGATAAGAACCAAAACAACTGGGTTAGAAGCACTTCTAATGAAATCTACTCATAAATCTAAGTATTTACTTTTGAACAAAGAGAATTTTCAGATTATAACTAACTGTGAAGTACCTATGAAAAATCAAAAAGTAAATTAAATATTCAAGGTTTTTAAGTAAAAACACAGGTAACTAGTTCTCTTGGGGAGGAATATCATTCTGAGGTTTATCTTCCAAGATCAAGTAGTACTTCGAAATGGAAGGGAATATAAATCACTCATGCATTTTGTCCTCATTTTTCTGCCATATAAATTTACTTTAAAACTAAAGTATTGTAGAAACTAAAAATCTTTAAAAGGTTGTATTTCTTGCTTGGTTAAATGTACAGGCAATTCTAATTCCCCAAGAGTATCAGATTAGGCTACAGATATCGCTATACAGTATACTTAGAATAAAAGGGTTCTGCCAACAAATGATGCTTACATTAATTAGAATGCCAAAAAATGTGAAAGTTTCTCAATTCCTATCTAAAATACAATACAAAGTAATCACAGAAGTCACTGCAACTCAAGCCCTCAGGAAAAAAAATGAGAGTAAAGAACCTTTTTAAAATTAAATGAGGATCTTACAAAGTCAAAAAAGAAGTGGAGAAGTTTTGTCTTTTTTTTTACACGCACTTTGTATTTTTCCTTTAGATTTAATATTACACGAGAACTACAAACTGAAGCGGAGTTCAACATACAAAGTTAACTAAAGATCTTGGTCCATTAAGAAGTATTTCAATGAAAAGAGATCTGAATGTACACATCAAACCACCTGAATGTAGCCATTTAGCCATTTCAGTCCACTGTGATTCTTAAGCAACCCTTTAAATCTGGGATAAAGTTATCTTCCAAAATTGCAAAAGAGATGTCTTCACTGGCGTTTGGGAAATAACTCGTCAAATATACCAAGTATTCCCAAACAACAACATAAACCCGGTATGTAAAGAGATATTTTCAAATTTCTAAGCCCCGCCCCCCTACTTTATTACTTCCACTTATGTTGTTTTAAGAGGCAAATAACGCTGTACTTATGATTCTAGAGGTCTAGAAATTCCTAAAATCAAGCATGACAGAAAATCTGTTCAACTTTGAACTCTAAATTCAAGCATGGCCTCCCTCGTGAACAGATTCTAACTAGGTACTTCCTACCATTTCGCCAAGAATCTAAGGGTTGATATCACTGTATTTAATTATTAGAAACCGTCCAGAAGATTAAGAAAGGAGTAGGATTCTTTGACCAAGAGTTTTGAAGCAAAATGTGTTGCATTCGGTCTTCTGGATGTTGAAAAGTGAAGGCATCTCTTACGATTCGAAGGAAGCTGATGTTTAGGTTCCTTCCAAGAGGTTGGTACCCGTATGTAAGACTTTTGTAGTTGTAATATACCCACAGTGCCTGGAATAAACGCAAATTCTAAGACCTTGGAAATGTTCTCATAAAAGGAAAAAACTCGTATTCGCCAAGGCCCATAGTTACCAAGAGTTAGAGGCTGTCTCTCCTAGACGGACCACAGAGCCTAAACTAAGAACTAGGAGCGCCTCTTTCAACCCCAGTCACTTGTTCCGCGAAACTTTTAAGTTAGACCCAAGACAGCAAAAGGTGGAGAGGCCCCGGCGGAAGTAGAAACCTAGGGCTAGCAACTTCACAGACAGAGGCGCCTCGGGTTCCTCCGCCGCCCCAGGATTCTCCGGACTAAGTCTCTACCAGACCACGGAAGCTTCACCCTCCGGGTACGGAAGCAGAGGAAGCATCCCAGTTGCACTCTTTCTCTTCCACCACCCATAGCCTTCTGTACCCAAGGGCCTGGCAGCTCCTGAGGCCCGTTAGCCAGTCCAGTGTCCCCCACCATTTACGTGTACATACACAGAAACACACATAAGTTGCAGATGATGTGCGTGTATTGAGAGAATGTGAAGAGCCAGAGACCGCGGCAGCTGCCAGGAAGGCGGCAGCGCCGTCTAAAGCGGGCCCGGGGTCCTTGGCCACCGCCGCTGCCGCCTTCTCTTCTTCCCCAGGAAGCAGCGCGGCGGAGGCTCCTCCGCGCTGGAGGGAGCCCGGGGGAGAGAAGTCTGGGGGAAACCCCAGCGCCAGCTGAAGGGACCCGGCCTAGGATCCAGAACTGCCGCTGCAGCGACCCGACTACAGCGACGCTTTACGTCCCGTCCACCACCCTCCCCATACACACCCCCTCCCTCCCTCCACCGCCCCCCCCCCCCCCCCCCCCCCCCCCCCGCCCGCTCCGTTCTCCCTCTCTCGATTGGAGCCGAGACAAAAGCAACGGGAAGCGGCGGGCCGGGACGCTGCCCGCGGACCCCGGGCGCGACCGGCCCGGCCCCGAGGCATTCCCCCGCCTTGCGGGGGCCCCGAATCCGCCGCCCCCGCCGCGCGCCCCACTGCCAGACTTCCGAAAATTTGCCAAAAACTCACCGCATGAATTTTCTTGTCCCGCGGATCCAAGATGGCGACGTATCCACCGCGGAGGCTGCTGGGAGCAAGACCTTTACCCTCTGACCCCCGCCGTGACCCCCGTCGTTCCGACTTCCCTCGAGGCGGCGGCGGAAGGTGGGAGCGGCGATTGCCTACGGGACAGAGTTGGGGGTGGGTAGACCGCTTCCCGCGCGTTCGAGACGGGTTGGGGAGGAGCGCTTCACTCCCTCACCTTCCTCCCCGCGGCCTCCACCGTGTCTCTCACCGACTCGCGGGGAGGTTCGTAGCTTCTCCGCAGTCGTTACAGCGAGCAGGGCCTCTGCGGCCCCTACGGCTCCCCTGGGGCTGGGCTGCTTCGCAAGGACCACGGGCCCTAGGTCCGAGGAGGACCGCGGGCTCCAGGGGCGGGGAATGATGAGGTGGCGTCGGTCCGCCCTCCCTGGGGACGCGAAATGTGTTTGTGTTTGTGTTCGTGTCGGACACCCCATCCCCCTCCACGTCCGCCTCGTCCCGGCCCCACCTCGCTCCAGCCACCTGAAACTGATCTGAGCACTATCCCCTTTTCTTCCCTCAGCCCCCGAAACCTCCGGTGCTTGTTCACGCACTTCCAGAGACTGGCAGCACATCACCATCACCTCTTGAAAAGTGAGTTCCCCTCAGCCAAAAACCCTTGGTATTTTCTACTCACCCCCCTTCCTTTTTTGTTGTTGTTTTTTAACTTGTCGGGAGGGAGCATATTGGGGAGCAGGTTTTTAAAATACTGTTGGGTGAGCTTTGCTGAGTTAGATTGATAGCACTTTTCTCGCTCCCACTCCCCAGTCCCCACGTAAGCTGGAGTGACTGCCTGCGCTGTCACCAAGACCGTTTGAAATTACGGTGGCTTTGGGGGAAACTTAAGGAGAGTGAAGTCTCTGCTTCCCAGAAAATAATTGTCAAAGTGAAATTTTATTTTCTTTGAAATAATAAATCTCTGTCTATTCCTTCGTGTATTGATCAACACTTCCCTTTTTACTTGACATTTTTGGACCTAAAAAGAGCCTCTGCATGCGTGTTTAGGAATTGTGTAGTTCATTGTTCATTCCTTTCTACTTGAGTAATAGAATTCACTACTGTAAAGTACAATTCATTTGGAGTAAGTAAAATTTCTACTTACCTTGTTTTGTTTCTTTTATAAAATCATCCTTTCCTTCCAAAAATTTACTGTGATTCAATTTAAAATTTATCACTGAAGGGCAAGAGGCATCTGTCAGTCATAAATAGCAAGAAAAATAAGCATACTATAAAATAATAGGTGACTTTGTTGCGTTTACAGAATACAAAGTATTTTGATAAATTAGCTGATGTAGCCAGTAGAAAATGTTTTGCCTGGTTATTCATTTCATTAAACATTCTGCTTCATTGTGTTTTTTTACTTAAGGAAAATTCAAGGAGCAGCAACACTATGTTCTTCCTTCCCTTTTTCTTCCCCTTCCCCCAACAGTTCCTTCCTGCCTCTTCAGCTTTCTCTTCTACTATGTAAGATGGTGTGTTAAAATGTTGACTATACCTCTAAGTATATGTTATACATATAGGTAGATTAATACATATATCTGTGTATTATTGAGCATTTTAATCTATTAATAACTTGAAAGTTTATTAATATTTGGAATTGTAAGATGAAATGATAAAAGTGGGGTATGCGTCTATGTATATAGTAGCATCAAGTATTACCATTCTAATCTATTAGTTTGACTTATATAGAGCATAGGACTTTGTTAAAGCCAAAAGATGACCCTTATTTTTATCCCCATGTTTACTCAGAGCACAAATTTTTGGGGGGTGTTTGTTTGTTTGTTTTTAATGGTGCCTCGGGTCTCTCAACACCCAATTCTGTGAATTTTATTTTATTTTTTTATTTTTTGGCCACACCACATGGCATGTGGGATCTAGTTCCCTGACCAGGGATTGAACCTGTGCCCCTTGCATTGGGAGTGCAGAGTCTTAACTGCTGGACTGCCAGAGAAGTCCCACGAGTTTTAAATAGTATAAACTTTGGTAAAATTGGAGAAATCACTTCCAAAAGGAGACAGGTCTAATTTGAGGGTTTTGTTCCCTTGGGTATTTTACTGGAAAAGATAGAGCAGCAAACATTTTCATGGTAAATGTGTAGCATAGCAGTGTTGGGGGAAAAATACACTGATACTATTGTTTTCTTGAGAATGCTATTTGTTTAGGATAAATTTACTTTAAGCCTTGTTGAGAACAAGTTTAAAATAGTTCTATTAGTGGTGCCCAATCTTTCATAAGTTTGTGAAATTTGTTTAATACCTACCTTAGAGGTAGCTTCTAGGTATTAAATAAACCAACATTTCTTAGATTTATGGCTTTCTAATAAGCACTCTAAGTAGTACATTTTTAATATTGTCCTGTTGCATCTGAAAGTTCGTCTTTATTGCTAATATTGATAAAATTTGCCCATTTGGTAGGTTGTGAGTTTTTTCTTTAAACTATTCACTTTGATAGATTGTCTTACTTGAAAAATAGGCCATACTGAGTATGTGTTTTGTGTGTTTTTGAAATGTAAGATGCATCTTATAGAAAAATTACCGATTTAGATTGAGAAAAAAGTTCCTTATTAAGGGAAGAATGACTTCGTACATAACTAGTTGTAGAAAAGGGAGGCCTCCCATTTTTTAAAAAGTATAGACAATCCTGAAAATCTTACCATTCCAAGGAATAAAAAAGAGGCATCTCAAAATTAGCATATGCTGAAACAGAATATTTGAATCCAAATTGTCTTCCTGTAGTCTTTCTGATTTCCGTGAACAGTACTGCCAACAGTTCACTCACTTGCTTAGGCAAAAAAGTAGGAATCTTCTGTGATTCCTCACACTCTCGGTTCAATTCATCAGCTCTTCCTTGTGTTTATTCTGCATTCAACCACTTCTCATCACCTCTGATGCTACCACCCTGTCCAAGCCATCATCATCACTTGCACAGCAATATCCATACTATCTCTGCTTCCACTTTTCCCTGCACCCCTTTTAAACCATTCTCTCCATACCAGCCAGGGTGATCATTTAAAAAACTTGATGAGGTTATGTTACTTGTTTAAAAGCCTGCAGTGGTTTCCTCGAAATCGAATAAAATCCAATTTCCTTACCATGACCTTTAAAACTACATAATCTGACTCCTGCTTTCCTCTCCAACCTCATCTTACTCTCACCCTTCTCATTGCCTCCTTTCTGTTTCTGTCACGTACCAAGCTTTTTCCAGTCTGTAGCAAACAACGACTGTTAGTTATCCCCTAAAATTTCTCCATTTTTTTCATAGTAATAGACATGGACATATGGCTGTCCAGAATAAAGACTGTATTTTCTAGCCTCCCTGTGGCCATGTGATAGTTCTGGCCAATGCGTTATAAGCAGATATGTGGCTTCTTTCCAGAACCAACCTTAAAAGATAGCTGGTGCACACTTTCAGTCCTTTGCTTCTTTTCTTCTTATATCCTGCACCCTGGAATATAGATGTGATGGCCTAGGACTCTAGCTGCCAATTTGGGTCATATGCAAGCTCCCCCATCCTAGGGGTGGCAAAACCTCAACCTGGTGAAAATATGCGTCCTTGACTTTTCTAGAGTACCATATCAGCCCCGCACTCCTTACATACAGATTTTGGTGTGAGGAAAATGTAAACTTCTGTCTTGCTAAAGCTACTATTTTTAGGGCATCTTATTCTCAATTGAACTTAACTGATACTCCATCTCAGGACCTTTGCTCTCCATTTTTTTTTTCTGCCTGGGATGTGGTTTCTCTATGTCTGTATGGCTAATTCATTCTCATCCTTCAGTTCTTAATTCAGATATCATTTCTGACTAGCCTTCCCTGGCAACCATATCTAAAGTAGCTCCTTTTCCCATTTACTTTCTTTTACATGACCCTCTGTTTTCTGAATAGCATTTGTAATTGTATCATTATCTTCTTTATTGTTGATTGTTTCCCTACTAAAAATGAAAGTTCCATGGGAGCAGAGACTACATCTGTTGTGTTCACTACTTTATCCCCACACATAGTATACATTAGATAAGTACTGTCGAATGAATGAGACAGTGAATAAATGAACCATTGAATGAATGAAGTAGATCCTTATCCAAGATTAGGTACACTTTTTAAAAATAAAAAGTCTTAAGTTTTCCTTCAACACATAATGTATAAAATCCAGGGTAGGAATCAGCTAGGAGAAATAGTGCTAAACTAACGGTATATGCCTAACTTCCAGGCCTTGATGATAAAGATGTATACCTTTTTCTGGTATATATAATAAGAAGGTTATTACAGGAAAAAAGCTTAATTGGTGAAGCAAACTGGCAAATCAGAAAGCACTGCAAAATAATACCTAGGGCAGAAACTCCCACTACGTAGAGGGAGTGATTATGTAACTTACTGGATCTCAGATTCTTCACCTAAAATATACGTAAGACTCTTAAACTTTGAATGGTAGTGTTATAAAGGTTTAATAGTAAGTCCATCTTATGAGTGACCTAACATGTTAAACATTAATTTGTTCTTCAGGTATTATTTTAACAGGTGATTATGTCTTGATAATACTGGCAAGGGTTCAAAGAAACAGGGCTTCTTATACTGCTCAGAGTATAAAATTGGCACATTTCTAGTATGCAGTTTGGCAATATGTATCAAAAGCCTTGAGCATATACATTTGACCCTGCAATTCCTCTTCTAGAAATGTATCATAGGAAGTAAGGATATGTGTAACAATTCAATTACAAGAGTGTTCGTTATTGCATTGTTTGTTAGGATTCTGGTAAATAAATCAAGCTACATCCATACAACAGAACAATATTCAGCCATTAAAAATGATATGGAAGAAGTTTTATTGACATATTAAGTGCAAACGGAAAGGTTTAAAATATAATTCCAATTTTGTGAAAAAGTTTGTGTCACAAAGGTCTAACAGGATATGTGCAAGTTATTAATTCAAAACTGCAGAAGTAACTGTTGCAGATATTTTTGTTTCATTAGTTCTATTTCATAGTTTTTTTTTTAAATTTTCATAGAATAAATTTTTATTTATTTATTTATTTATTTTTGGCTGTGTTGGGTCTTTGTTTCTGTGCGAGGGCTTTCGCTAGTTGCGGCGAATGGGGGCCACTCTTCATGGCCGTGCGCGGACCTCTCACTGTCGCGGCCTCTCTTGTTGCAGAGCACAGGCTTCAGACGCGCAGGCTCAGTAGTTGTGGCTCACGGGCCCAGTTGTTCCGCAGCATGTGGGATCTTCCCAGACCAGGGCTCGAACCTGTGTCCCCTGCATTGGCAGGCAGATTCTCAACCACTGAGCCACCAGGGAAGCCCAGAATAA